AAACATAGGCTGTACAGAACAATAGAAAAAGGTTTGGACAGGCCAAAAGCCCTGTGTATTAAAGATTACATAGCCGTATCTTAAGATTATTTTCAATAAGTATCTATTTGCCAATTTTGTTTTATTTTAATTCCAAGAATTTCTTACAGTAATCGAATTATAAGTAGATAAATACCTTCCCAACAAATTTCACCGAAAATGCGATTATAGGTTTTCCATTTAGTAAGTTGTGTATTCTTGACAGTTTACCAAATGTCGTTTAGTTGCAACTTGCAAGGTGCAGTGTGAATTCTAGTGTGATCATGGAAAATTTGGAAGGGCCGCGTAAACGACAAAAAATCGGTCCTTTAACAGTTAATGAAAAACCATTAATATTTAAAGTGTTGATGACACAGTCTAATTAGTTAGTAGTACGCTTGGTGTTGGGAAATCTACGATTTACAGAGTTGTTAAAGAAGAGAAATGTGGAGAGTTTCAAACAACACGTAAAGCTCCAGGAAAACCAAAATTTTAATTAGAAAAGCTTTTGAAAGAAAGACTTCGAAGGAAAGTGCATGCGTTCTTCTTTAGAAAAGAATTTCCGACAGTAGACAAAGTTCTTGCCACGGTTCGAGATGATAAGGATTACCCTGAAATGAGTCGAAGCACACTATGGAAACTTTTAAATGAAATAGGTTTTCTATGGAAAAAGCATTCCAAAAAGTCTATTTTAATAGAAAGAAGCGATATTGTAGTATGGAGAAGAAATTACCTAAGGACTATAAAAGAAATGAGAAACCAAAGAAGAAATATATTTTATTTAGATGAAACATGGATCAACGAGGGACATAAACCAAATACATTTTGGCAAGATGAAACTGTTACAAGTCGAAGACAGGTTTTTTTAAATAATTTATCTACTGGTTTAAATCCACCATCAGGAAAGGGGAGCCGACTAATAATAGTACACATCGGTAGTTCAAACGGTTTTGTTAAAGGTGGTTTATTGACTTTTGAATCTACTCGTACCGGTGACTACCATGAGGACATGAATGCTGATGTCTTTAAAGAGTGGTTCGAACAAATTATAGATCTTCTTCCTCAGAACTGTATAATAGTAATGGATAATGCAAGTTATCACTCGAGACTTATAGAAAAAATGCCCACAACCAAGTGGTTAAAAAAATATTTACAGAATTGGCTAAATTCAAAGAATATTAAGTTCCATCCCGGTTCTATGAGAAAAGAACTGTATCATTTGTGTTCCCTTCATAAAGAGAAATTCAAAAAATATGAAATTGATGAAATTGCAAAAAATCGTGGGATGACGGTGGTTAGATCACCACCATATCATTGCGAAGTAAACCCGATTGAACTGATATGGGCACAGATAAAGGGAGAAGTTTCAAGAAAAAATAATTCTTTTAAAATGAGTTATGTTAAACAGTTGTTTTTGGAGGCTGTAAATAATGTGAAGCCTGAAAACTGGGAAAAGACAGTAAATCATACGATTAAAGAAGAAGAGAAAATGTGGAAGTTGGACAATATTACTGATGAAATGATCGAGTCACTCATTGTAAATATTGGTTGCGACAGTTCATCTTCTGATTTCGATTCTGATTTGGATTTGTAGGTAAGAAGTAGTTTTTATATTAAAATTATTATTTATGAACGTAACGTTGTTTAAAAGTCAAAGTTTAAATCCTTATACCTACATAACCCGTTTGACACAATGTTCTTAACATACCTTGTGGAAAAATAAAACATTTTAGAAAAAATTGCACTTTTTTACCTTCAGCTGTTTAGAAGTTATAAGCAGGTTAATTAGGTGAAAATATAAGTGTATAACAGTCCAAAAAATATTTTAACTGTCTACTAAAAGAAGTGGTACGTCTATGGATTACGAACGCTTTATTATTTTAATACTCTCTCATACATAAAAATAGACTTATAACAAGGATTCGAAAAAAATAAATTTTTCCGACGTAGATTTCGAAAAAATGAATTATTCCGACTTTGATCTCAAAAAAATATTTTTTTCTGAGTTGAGAAATCGAAAATATAGATTATTCCGAAATAGGATTTCAAAAAATTGATTTTTATGAATTAGAACTCGGAAAAACAGATTATTCCGACTTAAGACATGGACAAAAATCAATCTGTCCGATTTAGAATTCGAAAAAATGAATTATTCCGACTTAGAAATGGGAAAAATAAGATTTGTTTAATTTAGAACTCAATAATATAGATTATTCCGATTTAGAACTCAGAAAAATTGATTTTAATTAAATATAAAATAGAATATTCCGGTTTAGAACTCGGAACAATTAATTATTGCGATTTTTCTGACTTATAATTCGAAAAAAAAATTATATCGCCTTTAGAACACAGAAAAATGGATTAATTCGATTAAAAAATAATACAGGATCGACACTTTTTAACGGGGACAAGATATTCTAAACCATAATTGAATAAACAATATAATAATCAGTAATTAGCTACAATTCGACATTTGGAGTTATTTTATTTGCACAAATAGAAAAAATATAATCCTCATTCTTCTTAAATTGTTGGAGTCAACTTCATAATAAGAAGTTTCGTTTCTATAGGACCATCTTCAACTTTACCAATACCAACCCTGTAAAAAAGTATCTACCCTGTACAAACTTTCTTTATGGAGCTCTAAGCTCCAATGTATAGGAGATACGTCACACTGAAAGTTAATTTCGAATAAAGGGGCACGAAAAACCACCGATTTAAACGCGTGAGGTCAACAACAAGTATCAAACTGTCAACATCAAAGGATTTAAGTAAATCTGTTTGTTGTAATCTGTGATGTCAAGAGATTATGCAGAATTTTGTTGTTTGAAGCGCCGAAATGGGCCGTCATTTTGAGTTCACAGTTGATGATACTTTTTAAAACGTTCTTTTGTCATTTTTATTTATTTTTTATTGTATATTATTTATTATATTTCAATAAATACTTATTTGGGGTGAAAGATCATGTATTGAATAATTTAACAGTCCAATATAATCTATATATATATAAAATTGTTTGTCCTGACTGACTGACTGACTGACTGACCTATCAACCTACAGCCAAAACTACTGGGCCTAGAAAGCTGAAATTTGGAACATAGGTTTATTTTATAACATAAGCATCCGCTAAGAAAGGATTTTTGGAAATTTTAACTTTAAAGGGGGGAAATTGGAGGAAATGGGGGGGGGGAAGGAGCTTTTAATGAAACTCTTTGTTCTTTAAAGTTAGAAACACAAAAATTTAAATTACAGCTATTAAGCATAAATAAATAATGACGTGTTTCAGGGTTTTTGGATTTTTACATTTTAAGGGGGGAAAACAAGGGGTGAAAGTTTGTATGGGACTATCGATTTTTTTTTGTTCTTTTTAAAGGTAGAAACATAAAAATTGGAATTGTAGCTACTGACTACAAATTATTATTAAGGTGTTTCAGGGTTTTTTGAAAATGGGAAATGAGGGGTGAAAATTTGTTTAATAATATGTATATATTTTTTTGTTATTTAAAGTATGAAACATAAAAATTTGAATTAGAGCTACTGGTTAAAAATCGAAGATGATGTTTCTTTCATGGTTTTTGGATTTCTACATTTCAAGGAGGGAAAACGGGGGTAAAAATTTTAATACAAGTATAAATTTTTTGAACCTTGGAACTTGAAAATTATAATTGTAGACTAAATAAATAAGCACGTGCTGTGGTTTTTAGATTTTTGTATGGTAGTATCATAAAAATAAACTAAAATTAAAAAAAAATATATAAAAAATTATTAAAAATAAATAAAAATGAATAAAAATAATTAAAAATGAATAAAAATGAATAAAAATGAATAAAAATGAATAAAAATTAATAAAAATGAATAAAAATGAATAAAAATGAATAAAAATGAATAAAAATGAATAAAAATGAATAAAAATGAATAAAAATGAATAAAAATGAATAAAAATGAATAAAAATGAATAAAAATGAATAAAAATGAATAAAAATGAATAAAAATGAATAAAAATGAATAAAAATGAATAAAAATGAATAAAAATGAATAAAAATGAATAAAAATGAATAAAAATGAATAAAAATAAATAAGAATGAATAAAAATAAGTAAAAATAAATAAAAATTAATAAATATAAAAAAAATAAATAAAAATGAATGAAAATCAATAAAACTAATAAAAATTAATAAAAAAGGAAGTCATGTGTTTTTTTATATTAATAACACGACTAGATGCGAGAAAAGTCGCGAGCAAAGCCGCGGGCAATAGCTAGTATTTATATATTATTATTTTTGTACATACAATGATTTTAATTGAATCCATACATTTTTAAACATTTATGAGTGTACAATTATTAATATAAAAATAATATTTACTAATCATATTAATTGGTAAACTTATTTAAATTTATAAGTCGCAAAACTACGAAAAATATATTATTCTGACCTAGAACTGTGACTGAGAAGTCGTGAAAATAGATTATTCCGCCTTAGATCTCAGAAATGTGGATTTTTTCAATTAAGAACTCGGAAAAATAGATTTATTCCAACTTAAAACTCAGAAAAATTGATTATTTTTTACTTAGAACTAAATTTTAGGCATTTTAAATTGTCGATAAAATTGTCAAACTTATAACCAATAATTTTACCTGAATATATTATGATCCCCTCCACTATACGGCGACGTGCTGTTATACTTGGGCTTTTCGTGGTCAGTTACCGTCAATTCGATGTGATCATTATCGCATCCTTCCTCCATTGTGCTATTCTTAATGCCGTAGTAAAAATACATGATTAATCCCAAAGTCATCCACGTGGTAAATCTCACTAGAGTCAAAATCGACAGCTTCATTATTAAATAAATGTTTACGGTAATTGCTACGACGGGAATGAATGGAAGGCCTGGAGTCATGAACATTAGCGTATTTCTGAAAATATATGATATTTAAAAAAATAAGACCAACGACATTTATTAAAAATAGAAGATCATAAAAATTTTAGAGTAAATAAATATCAACAGTATATACTCGGATCAAATATTGAAGAAGGTGAGTCATATGCATGATCAACACTGTTGTCTATGAATGAAAATTCCGATATAGTCAGCATAGGCGGCGTATCAAATACCAAATAATTATTTATTATTTATTAGGTATTTGTTAGTAAACTTTATTAAATTTGTTTGTCAACATCTTTATTTAAACAAAGATGATGCGTTAAATATACGTTTTTGATAGATTTCAAGAAATGAATATATCTATTCCCTAATGACTTCGTTATCTGTGTTTAATGGTTTTAAAATGTGTTTCAAGTAAATAAACTACAGGCGCATTACAGATTGAATATTATCAGCACAGGCACAAAGACTGACTTTCGACGAAGTTAGATTTGTATCGCTTTAACTTTTATATTAATTATTTTATATTTTATAGACACTTTTTTGTATAAGTGCTCTTTCCTGATATACGAGTAGGTGTTCATGTTGTGTCTTACAATTTGGTAGTGGTAGTGCATATTCAAGGAGTTATATTTATTGTGTAGTATATTAGGTAAGTATTTTAAAAGTTTATTAAATAGTAAAATATTGGTGTCTTTATAAATTTAATAAAAAACATTTTAATAGTAGAATTATATTGTTACAATAGTAATGAATTCAGAGGCGGGTCCAAGTGAAACCCAATTACGTTGGCGAAAGCCCTTATCAAAGTATGAAAAGAATATTATATGGAAAGTGTATGATGGGCTGAAACAGACACTTCGTACAAATGAAGCTGTAAACCGCAGTTCTTTTTTAACTGGAGTATCTGTTTCAACAATTAATAATACTCTCCCTAATTCACCCCCTTTCGAGCGAATTTCAACCCCTGAAGTCGACTGAACGACTTGTGTAGGGGAAGGGACGGCTATTATTATTATTTGCCGTGGCGCTCCGGGGCGACTTAAAGAAGATTGATGGTGCCATTTGACTTACAGGTGAGGAAAACCCGGAAAACCTCACCCACCATCATCGAGACGGTAATGCATGGCGATTTTTTAATCTGCATGTCATATTAACAGAAATTGAATTTCTATTAATACGGCACACAATATATCTAGTGAAACAGAAAGCCACTACGGGATACCGCAAGGAAGTGTGTTGGGTCCACTTTTATTTATTATTTATGTAAATGACATTCATAAACGATTAAAAAGATCATTTATTAGCCTTTTCGCGGACGACACGCTCATTTCAGTATCTGGTAGAGATTTTCAGGAAATAATTTAAATATTAAATGAAGAATTGTCTATTTTGTATGACTGGATGTGTGTAAATAAGCTTAAATTAAATACTGCAAAAACAAAATATATGATCCTAGGATCAAAAGCACAATGCAGACAACTTAATGCGCATGATCAAGTAGTAGAAATAGGTGGTGAACCAATTGAACAAGTACTGGAAAAAAAATATTTAGGAGTCATTATTGACCAACAATTAACTTTTAATAATCATGTCAATTACTTATGTAAAAAATTAGGTAAAAAAATTGGTTTTTTTAGAAGGATTTCATGTAACTTGTCGCAATGGTCAAAATCTCTGATTTATAATACAATAATACGCCCACATTTTAATTATTGTAATGAATTACTATTATCGGTTACTAAAGAAAACATCAGCAGATTGAAACTGTTACAAAATAAATGTTTAAGGATAATATTAAATTGTAATATTTACATTTCGGTCAGGGAAATGCACGAACAGCTGAATGTCCATACAGTTGAGCAAAGCATTAAAATGTCGAATTTAATACTAATATATAAGATGATACATCACAAAACTCCGAAATACCTTAGTACACTACTTGTAAAAAGATCTGAACTTCATTTACGTCCACTCAGATCAATGGACAATTTTAATATTGATTTCACAAAAAAATTCGTCTTTTTAATGCGTTGCCTAAAAAGATAAAAGATGCCCCAACTCTAGGTAGTTTTAAAAATATGATTAGTAATTATCTAGGTTTAGGTAACCTATAGTTTTAAGTTTAAATTGTAAATATTTGTTTATAACTAGCTGAAAGCTAAATAAAGAATTTACTTACTTACTACTTACTTACATCAAATCCTAAACCGAACCATGCAATTAAATTAAAAATCCACATGGTCCGGTCTGGGATTCGAAGCCCAGCAGTCTCAGACTCATAAACTTGCCTATAAATGAATGTAAGCGCGTTAGACCGCTACACTACCGACCCGACACACAATTGAACGTATTGTACGCGAAAAGACAAAAAAGGCTCCTTAGAAGCCCCTAAAACGCATACCCGTGGTCGAAAATTGTTGAAATTTGATGATAACCAAAAACAAATCATTCGAAGAACTGTACATTCTTTTTTTTTTTCGAAAACAAAGCCCCAACACTTAAAGTTGTTCTTACGAAATTAAGAGAAAACGAAGAAATTCCATTAATGAGTCGTGAAACTTTACGAAAAATTTTATAGGGCCTAAAATTTCATTTTGTCAAACGGTGTAGGAAATCAATTTTAATTGAGAAGTCAGATTTTCCTGGCGATGGCGTTATTTACGAAATATTAAAGAGTTTAGAGCCGCTAAAAAAAAAAAGATATACTATCTCGATGAAACGTGAGTAAATGCTGGACACACGGTATCTAAGATATGGCAAGATACTTCTGTAACTAGTCATCGCCAAGCTTTTATAGAGGAATTATCTACAGGTTTGAAAGCACCATCAGGTAAAGGACAGCGCCTAATTGTTACCCATATCGGAAGTGACAGTGGATTTTTGGAAAATAACGCTCTTGTGTTTATATCGAAAAAAAAAAAAAAACAGGAGACTACCACGAGGACATGAATGCGGAATGCTTTGAAAAATGGTTTACTGAAGTATTACAGCGTGCAGAACGAAATTCATTTATTGTACTAGATAACGCTTCTTATCACAGTCGACGAGTTGAACGCATTCCGATAATGTCTAGTAGGAAAGCAAATATGCAAAGCAATAACATTTACTGAGGAGATGCTTAAAGTGGAATTAATGGACCTAATAAAGGAACACCGCCTTAAATATATTCAATATGTTGTCGACACAATGGCCCGTGATCGTGGTATTACGGTATTAAGACTTCCCCCTTATCACTGCGAATTCAATCCTATTAAACTAATTTGGGCGCAAGTGAAAGGGTTTGTAGCTCGAGAAAATAAAACTTTTAAAATAGCCGACGTTCAAAGTTTATTAAAAACCGGTATAGAACGTATAAAACCTGAAGATTGGCAGAATGCTACTTCCCATGTAATTAAGGAAGAAAATAATATGTGGCGCTTGGACGGTATGATAGAAACGGTAGTTGAACCTTTAGTCATAACTTTAAGTTCCGACGATAAAGACGATTCCAGTGATAGTTCTGCAGAATCAATGGATTACGAAACTTCATAGATTTAGAATTCAAGTAAGTGATACCAAGCTTAATTTACATATTTTTATAATAAACAAAATACAATTATAAACATAGATAAATTATTATAACAAAAATAGATAACCAACCTACTTTCATCTAGTAATATTCACAAATACCCATTTAATTTGCCAATATAGTATTTCTGCGACACTGGAAGAGTGCATTTTGATATGATAACGATACCTTTTGCAGTTTTAAGGCGCACCTTCTTCAATATTTTGTTCCAATATAATACCCCATTTAATTTTCCAATAGTGTTTCTACGCCACTGGCATAATATTTACATATTTTAACAATAAACAAAACAAAATTATAAACATAAATGATTATTACTACAAAAATAGATAACCAACCTACTTTCATATAATATTATTTACTATTACCGCGATTTAATTTGTCAATAGTTTTTATACGCCACTGGCGTAATTCATTTTGGCAATAAACATGCATTTATGACTAGTTGGCACCTGATCCCGATAACTTCTGCAATTTTAAGCGCGTGATTCCATTCATTATGCTCTAGTATAGTATGATTGTTGTACGTGAACAGGAAGGAATCACCGTCTTCAATATTTTATCCGAGTATAGTTGTGTATTAGCCGGAACAGGGACGGTGCTCCCAAATGGACTTTAAAAATTAATGTTTTCTGTTTGGGGAACAGAGACCAATTTTACAGCGAAAGTAACGCGTAAAGTACATGAAATTAGTCATTTTATTTTTTTTAATGTTTTTCTGATCTGAATTTTAATAAACATCTTTTGTACCTATTAAACATTTTGTTGTAGCTGTTATAATAAATGCGTTACAGAGAAAATAAGCACTCCCCTCTCCCTAATGAAAGTCAGGCTATGAGTGACGCCAAGCGCATGGCAGACGAAAACTGAACATTATCTTGCAACGGACTATACAGGGTGCGGCATAAGTTCTGCCCCACTATCAGGTTCTTACAGCGCGACGTATAATTATACGATTTTCGTATATTCTGACTTGCCAGCGTATCTTTTTCTAACTCTTTGAAATTCCATATAATTTTCGTACATTCTGGATAAAACTTTGGATCTTTTTGGATTTCCATTTATTTTAGAAATAAGTTTAGACACTTTTGAGTTTATTTGGACAACTTAATTGTTTCAGTGTGTCTTCTGTTCTATTTTTATTAAATAGTGATTGACTAGCTAGCTGCTTATTTTAGAGAATGCCACACTCCATGTCATTGGCCAAAGAAAACAGGCCTGGAGCCCTTTGCTTTGGAACTTTTGGCAGTCTATCTGAATGAATCTGCATTGCTATATTTATTCTGTCGGCAGTGCCCCATCTCACAAACCTAAAGCCGAACCTGGCAGCAACACAAATTTGATATCCTCAAATGCAAAGATGTGACTACAAAGGCGTATAAAAAGTGTATCTTTTGTACCCAGCCACTGTATAATTTCAAGTTTAAGTATTGGCAACACTGGCTCGTTAGTTTGCGTTCTCAAACGATTGTGGCAAGGTGTTCGGTGTATTATTATTATTATTATTATTATTATTGTCCGTACGTTCATTCATTGTGAAAATGCAAGCTGGGGATTTAAATTTACACAGGAAGAACGAATTTTCCTGTTAACGTCGTACATAAGAAATGATGTGCATTTCCAAACAATTTTCGAAGAATTCGCGCAACAATTTCCAAACCGTCGTTTACCAGACCGTCGTAATGTGAGGAGAAATTCCAGCAAACAGGCTCCGTTGCTGATGCGCCGAGAGCGGGTCGTCCTCGTAGCATGACGTCACAATTCTGCCTATCGGGCCACCGAAAACCCCCACGTAACCATTCAGCAAGAACTTAATGCACCCGGCGTCAGCGTATGGGTGAATGCCAGATTCATACTGGAGGACTAGTTGGTCCCTACTTTTTCGATGCCACTGTGACTGCAGTAACCTACCTGGAACTTCTAGAGGATCTACGAGGTCAAATGGATGCTGACCCAGATTTGGCCCACATCATCCACTTTATGCAAGACGGTGCCCCCCCACATTACGCTTTAATTGTGCGGGAATTCCTCAATGATCACTTCGGAGCGTGGATAGGAAGACGTGGGGAAATTGAATGGCCAGCGAGGTCTTGCGATTTAACACCCTGCGACTTTTTTCTCTGGGGCCTGATGAAGGATCGAGTGTTCGCAAGACGAGCAAGAACAGTCCAGCAGTTGAGAAGAGTCATCGAGGAGGACATTACGAAATATTCCGTCGTACGTGCCAAACTGTCGTCACACGGTGCCGCAGATGCGTTGACCAAGATGGTCACCAATTTGAACACTTGTTATAAACTTATTCTAAGCTATAAATATCTTATTTTCTGTAGCGTACTCATTAAAATACATTTTATTCGCTTTTCTATTGTTCGCTTTTCGATTTTTTCCGACGTGCAAAATGGGGGCGGAACTTATGCCGCACTCTGTATATCAATAACTAAAATATCAGTCGAAATTCACACAAAATCGTTAGATCCTTTGCAGAAACAACAAGAAATACAGATGACATAAATAGCAGACGATTTAAATGATCGATGATTTAAAAAAACTGAGAAAGTTGTATGTTTTCCTTACCTGTTTTGCGGTTTTCTCGAAATAATTAGGCAAATGGAAACTATAGCGAGGAAAAATACCCACAGAAAAAATGAGGTAGCGCTGTTCATGTCGTCCATGCCGCACACAATGATGAGGTCGAATATTATGATGAGAACATACAGATATCCGACCATTTTCATAACGAATAATCCTGATTCTTCTGTTGCGGGTCCAGTGTCTACCCAAGGGAAGATGGCTGGACACAAATATGTGGCCGCCTGTGAAAGTTTTTGTTTTTAAAAAAATGTATTTTATATATATATATATATATATATATATATATATATATATATATATATATATATATATATATATATATATATATATATATATTATAAAATGTTGTTTTCAATAGTTTTATAATCGATTTTTCTGAGATTATTCCGACTTAGAATTTAGGAAAAATCGATTTGTCCAACTTAGAACTCAAAAAAATAAATTAAGTCCGACTTTGAACTCTGCAAAATAGTATTTTCTGAGTTGGAACTCGGAAAAATCGATTTGTTCAATTTAGAACTTGGAAAAATCGATTTGTGCAACTTGGAACTCGAAAAAATATATTAGTCCGTATTAGAACTCGAAGAAAACTTTTTTGTGAACGTGTCAATTAGTTTTCAATAGTTTTATAATCGATTTTTCTGAATTAGAACTCGAAAAAATAGATTACTCCGACTTAGAATCCGGAAAAATCGATTTGTCCAACTTAGAACTCAAAAAAATAAATTAAGTCCGACTTTGAACTCTGAAAAATAGTATTTTCTGAGTTGGAACTCGGAAAAATCGATTTGTTCAATTTAGAACTTGGAAAAATGGATTTGTGCAACTTGGAACTCGAAAAAATATATTAGTCCGTCTTAGAAGTCGAAGAAAACTTTTTTTTGTGACCGTGTCAATTAATTAGTTTTCAATAGTTTTATAATCGATTTTTGTGAATTAGAACTCGAAAAAATAGATTACTCCGACTTAGAATTCGGAAAAATCGATTTGTCCAACTTAGAACTCAAAAAAATTAATTAAGTCCGACTTTGAACTCTGAAAAATAGTATTTTCTAAGTTGGAACTCGGAAAAATCGATTTGTTCAATTTAGAATTTGGAAAAATGGATTTGTGCAACTTGGAACTCGAAAAAATATATTAGTCCGTCTTAGAAGTCGAAGAAAACTTTTTTTTGTGACCGTGTCAATTAATTAGTTTTCAATAGTTTTATAATCGATTTTTGTGAATTAGAACTCGAAAAAATAGATTACTCCGACTTAGAATTCGGAAAAATCGATTTGTCCAACTTAGAACTCAAAAAAATTAATTAAGTCCGACTTTGAACTCTGAAAAATAGTATTTTCTGAGTTAGAACTCAGAAAAATTGATTTGTTTAATTTAGAACTTGGAAAAATGGATTTGTGCAACTTGGAACTCGAAAAAAATATATTAGTCCGTCTTAGAACTCGAAGAAAACTTTTTTTTTGTGACCGTGTCAATTAATTAGTTTTCAATAGTTTTATAATCGATTTTTGTGAATTAGAACTCGAAAAAATAGATTACTCCGACTTAGAATTCGGAAAAATCGATTTGTCCAACTTAGAACTCAAAAAAATTAATTAAGTCCGACTTTGAACTCTGAAAAATAGTATTTTCTGAGTTGGAACTCGGAAAAATCGATTTGTTCAAGTTAGAACTTGGAAAAATGGATTTGTGCAACTTGGAACTCAAAAAAATATATTAGTCCGTCTTAGAACTCGAAGAAAACTTTTTTTTTGTGACCGTGTTAATTAATTAGTTTTCAATAGTTTTATAATCGATTTTTCTGAATTAGAACTCGAAAAAATAGATTACTCCGACTTAGAATCCGGAAAAATCGATTTGTCCAACTTAGAATTAAAAAAAAAATAAATTAAGTCCGACTTTGAACGCTGAAAAATAGTATTTTCTGAGTTGGAACTCGGCAAAATCGATTTGTTCAATTTAGAACTTGGAAAAATGGATTTCTGCAACTTGGAACTCGAAAAAATATATTAGTCCGTCTTAGAACTCGAAGAAAACTTTTTTTGTGAACGTGTCAATTAATTAGTTTTCAATAGTTTTATAATCGATTTTTCTGAATTAGAACTCGAAAAAATAGATTATTCCGACTTAGAATCCGGAAAAATCGATTTGTCCAACTTAAAACTCAAAAAAATAAATTAAGTCCGACTTTGAACTCTGAAAAATAGTATTTTCTAAGTTGGAACTCGGAAAAATCGATTTGTTCAATTTAGAACTTGGAAAAATGGATTTGTGCAACTTGGAACTCGAAAAAATATATTAGTCCGTCTTAGAAGTCGAAGAAAACTTTTTTTTGTGACCGTGTCAATTAATTAGTTTTCAATAGTTTTATAATCGATTTTTGTGAATTAGAACTCGAAAAAATAGATTACTCCGACTTAGAATTCGGAAAAATCGATTTGTCCAACTTAGAACTCAAAAAAATTAATTAAGTCCGACTTTGAACTCTGAAAAATAGTATTTTCTGAGTTGGAACTCGGAAAAATCGATTTGTTCAAGTTAGAACTTGGAAAAATGGATTTGTGCAACTTGGAACTCAAAAAAATATATTAGTCCGTCTTAGAACTCGAAGAAAACTTTTTTTTTGTGACCGTGTTAATTAATTAGTTTTCAATAGTTTTATAATCGATTTTTCTGAATTAGAACTCGAAAAAATAGATTACTCCGACTTAGAATCCGGAAAAATCGATTTGTCCAACTTAGAATTAAAAAAAAAATAAATTAAGTCCGACTTTGAACGCTGAAAAATAGTATTTTCTGAGTTGGAACTCGGCAAAATCGATTTGTTCAATTTAGAACTTGGAAAAATGGATTTCTGCAACTTGGAACTCGAAAAAATATATTAGTCCGTCTTAGAACTCGAAGAAAACTTTTTTTGTGAACGTGTCAATTAATTAGTTTTCAATAGTTTTATAATCGATTTTTCTGAATTAGAACTCGAAAAAATAGATTATTCCGACTTAGAATCCGGAAAAATCGATTTGTCCAACTTAAAACTCAAAAAAATAAATTAAGTCCGACTTTGAACTCTGAAAAATAGTATTTTCTAAGTTGGAACTCGGAAAAATCGATTTGTTCAATTTAGAACTTGGAAAAATGGATTTGTGCAACTTGGAACTCGAAAAAATATATTAGTCCGTCTTAGAAGTCGAAGAAAACTTTTTTTTGTGACCGTGTCAATTAATTAGTTTTCAATAGTTTTATAATCGATTTTTGTGAATTAGAACTCGAAAAAATAGATTACTCCGACTTAGAATTCGGAAAAATCGATTTGTCCAACTTAGAACTCAAAAAAATTAATTAAGTCCGACTTTGAACTCTGAAAAATAGTATTTTCTAAGTTGGAACTCGGAAAAATCGATTTGTTCAATTTAGAATTTGGAAAAATGGATTTGTGCAACTTGGAACTCAAAAAAATATATTAATCCGCCTTAGAACTCGAAGAAAACTCTTTTTTTGTGACCGTGTCAATTAATTAGTTTTCAATAGTTTTATAATCGATTTTTGTGAATTAGAACTCGAAAAAATAGATTACTCCGACTTAGAATTCGGAAAAATCGATTTGTCCAACTTAGAACTCAAAAAAATTAATTAAGTCCGACTTTGAACTCTGAAAAATAGTATTTTCTGAGTTGGAACTCGGAAAAATCGATTTGTTCAAGTTAGAACTTGGAAAAATGGATTTGTGCAACTTGGAACTCAAAAAAAATATTAGTCCGTCTTAGAACTCGAAGAAAACTTTTTTTTTGTGACCGTGTTAATTAATTAGTTTTCAATAGTTTTATAATCGATTTTTCTGAATTAGAACTCGAAAAAATAGATTACTCCGACTTAGAATCCGGAAAAATCGATTTGTCCAACTTAGAATTAAAAAAAAAATAAATTAAGTCCGACTTTGAACGCTGAAAAATAGTATTTTCTGAGTTGGAACTCGGCAAAATCGATTTGTTCAATTTAGAACTTGGAAAAATGGATTTCTGCAACTTGGAACTCGAAAAAATATATTAGTCCGTCTTAGAACTCGAAGAAAACTTTTTTTGTGAACGTGTCAATTAATTAGTTTTCAATAGTTTTATAATCGATTTTTCTGAATTAGAACTCGAAAAAATAGATTATTCCGACTTAGAATTTAGGAAAAATCGATTTGTCCAACTTAGAACTCAAAAAAATAAATTAAGTCCGACTTTGAACTCTGAAAAATAGTATTTTCTGAGTTGGAACTCGGAAAAATCGATTTGTTCAATTTAGAACTTGGAAAAATGGATTTGTGCAACTTGGAACTCGAAAAAATATATTAGTCCGTCTTAGAACTCGAAGAAAACTTTTTTTTGTGACCGTGTCAATTAATTAGTTTTCAATAGTTTTATAATCGATTTTTGTGAATTAGAACTCGAAAAAATAGATTACTCCGACTTAGAATTCGGAAAAATCGATTTGTCCAACTTAGAACTCAAAAAAATTAATTAAGTCCAAATTTGAACTCTGAAAAATAGTATTTTCTGAGTTGGAATTCGGAAAAATCGATTTGTTCAATTTAGAACTTGGAAAAATGGATTTGTGCAACTTGGAACTCGAAAAAATATATTAGTCCGTCTTAGAACTCGAAAACTTTTTTGTGAACGTGTTAATTAATTAGTTTTCAATAGTTTTATAATCGATTTTTCTGAATTAGAACTCGAAAAAATAGATTACTCCGACTTAGAATCCGGAAAAATGATTTGTCCAACTTAGAACTCAAAAAAATAGTATTTTTTGAGTTGGAACTCGGAAAAATCGATTTGTTCAATTTAGAACTTGGAAAAATCGATTTGTGCAACTTGGAACTCGAAAAAATAAATTAGTCCGTCTTAAAACTCGAAGAAAACTTAACTATTAACGATTATAATTTACATTTTTTTAATAAATTGTCCTGTAATTTTGGATTTTTGTAACAGAAATAAAAATAAAATGTAATAAGCTTACTTGTAATCTTCTTCCAATATATCCTAAGCTGGGTCCGACTGTAGAACCAACTACACCTCCTGTACTAGTTGCACTACCACCCCCGTGAACGGTACCTAAAAAAAATCAACATGTAAAATACATTTGAATTGTTTTAGACACATAATATAGTAACAAAAAATAATACAACAAAATAAAACGACAGCCAATCAATAAAATACAAATTTCTGTAAAGTAAAAAACATAAAGTAATAAATAGTATAAATATTTCAAAGAAAAAAATATTGGTACACCGAATAAGGCATAAGTGGATCGAGTCTAAATGAATACGTACCATAAAATTTATTTTCCGTTCTATCAGAAACCAAAAACTGATCATCTCTTCCAGAAAAATCTTCTTCAGGTTCGTCGCCTCCAAAAGTATCGTCACTATCCGGAGAACTGCGACAAAAAATCATAGATTATTAACAATGAAGTAAAAACTTTAAATACTAAAGGAAGCCCACTGCAAAAGGTTCACTAGTTTGGTTAAATTTTTATTGAAATGTAGGATAAAATATTGTGTCATAGTAATTTTCCGTTATAAAATGTTGTACCACCCTCCACCCATCGCTTTTTTGGAAAATGTTCTATCCAATCCAATAGCACGTCGCAATCCATTGTACAGTGCGACCCAAAAAGTTTTATCTTACTTTACTTTGGTCTTGATTTTAAGTTTTTGATGACTTAAAAAAAACAATCTCTATATTTATTTTCCCTGTATACCACTTATATTTTACAAAATTTAAAATTTGATGAATTTTCAATAATTTATTTTTGTGAAATGTAAGATATAACGACGAAAAACAACTAAAATAAATAAATAAACACTTGCACAAACCACCCCCTCTCAAATTAGCAGCTGTCTCCTTCTTTCTAATGTGACAGCTCTGTCTGCATAATAATAAACACAATCTATCTGAATACTTGCAATAAAAAGGGGCATAATTATGAATGACTGGATTAGTCTAGTAATTTTTCGTCATTGATAACTTTTTATGTGTACAAAACTTTTTGGGACACACTGTATAATATATTGCGACGTATTCTTCGAGCACGTCGTTGCCAACAATGTCTAGATACACATTGCTCTTAACGACAGTGTATTCTAAAATAAAATAATATTCATGATAAACTTTTATATTCATTGATATTAATCTATGGAACCTTATGTGAGACACTGTATAATAGATTGCGACGTGCTCTTCGAACACGTCATTACCAACAATTTCTGGATACATATTGCTGTTAACGACGTGCTCGAAGAGCACGTCGCATTCTATTATACAGTGTATTCTAAAATAAATTAATATTTATGAAAAACATTTATCTTGGATATTAATCTATGGAACTTCTTGTGAGACACTGTATAATAGATTGCGACGTGCTCTTCGAGCACGTCGTTGCCAGCAATGTCTAGTTACACATTGCTGTTAACGACAGTGTATTCTAAAATAAAATAATATTCATGATAAACTTTTATATTCATTGATATTAATCTATGGAACCTTATGTGAGACACTGTATAATAGATTGCGACGTGCTCTTCGAACACGTCGTTACCAACAATTTCTGGATACATATTGCTGTTAACGACGTGCTCGAAGAGCACGTCGCATTCTATTATACAGTGTATTCTAAAATAAATTATTATTTATGAGAAACATTTATCATGGATATTAATCTATGGAACTTCTTGTGAGACACTGTATAATAGATTACGACGTGCTCTTCGAACACGTCGTTACCAACAATTTCTGGATACATATTGCTGTTAACGACGTGCTCGAAGAGCACGTCGCATTCTATTATACAGTGTATTCTAAAATAAATTAATATTTATGAAAAACATTTATCTTGGATATTAATCTATGGAACTTCTTGTGAGACACTGTATAATAGATTGCGACGTGCTCTTCGAGCACGTCGTTGCCAGCAATGTCTAGTTACACATTGCTGTTAACGACAGTGTATTCTAAAATAAAATAATATTCATGATAAACTTTTATATTCATTGATATTAATCTATGGAACCTTATGTGAGACACTGTATAATAGATTGCGACGTGCTCTTCGAACACGTCGTTACCAACAATTTCTGGATACATATTGCTGTTAACGACGTGCTCGAAGAGCACGTCGCATTCTATTATACAGTGTATTCTAAAATAAATTATTATTTATGAGAAACATTTATCATGGATATTAATCTATGGAACTTCTTGTGAGACACTGTATAATAGATTACGACGTGCTCTTCGAACACGTCGTTACCAACAATTTCTGGATACATATTGCTGTTAACGACGTGCTCGAAGAGCACGTCGCATTCTATTATACAGTGTATTCTAAAATAAATTAATATTTATGAAAAACATTTATCTTGGATATTAATCTATGGAACTTCTTGTGAGACACTGTATAATAGATTGCGACGTGCTCTTCGAGCACGTCGTTGCCAGCAATGTCTAGTTACACATTGCTGTTAACGACAGTGTATTCTAAAATAAATTAATATTCATGAGAAACTTTTATATTAATTGATATTAATCTATGGAACCTTATGTGAGACACTGTATAACAGATTGCGACGTGCTCGAAGAGCACGTCGTTACCAACAATATCTGGATACATATTGCTGTTAACGACGTGCTCGAAGAGCACGTCGCATTCTATTATACAGTGTATTCTAAAATAAATTAATATTTATAAGAACCATTTATCTTGGATATTAATCTATGGAACTTCTTGTGAGACACTGTATAACAGATTGCGACGTGCTCTTTGAGCACGTCGTTAGTAACAATGTCTGGATACACATTACTGTTAACGACGCATTCTATTATACAGTGTACCCCAAAAAGTATATCAACGTGAAAGATGAAAATACTGGACAATCTAATACATTTTATTTATTCTTTATTATTTACCTTCTGGTGATCCTCCTTACCATCACCCTCTGGGTGGTTTGCGAAGGCAACGGCGACGGCGAAGGCGAAGGAATCGGCGGACCGAGCGAGGAATCTATAGCGTGTTTAAGTTGAGCGGGTTGCAACTGATTCCCGTACAACGTTTGTCCGCCGGGATTATCGACTAAAGCTTCTTTGGTAGGCGAGCCCCGTATGGGCGTCCGAAGACTTTGTGGAAGTAGTTCGACGAGGTTCGTGGAATGCGGTTGATATCGGAGAATTAAGACGCAAGTTGAGACCAAGGTGTATGCGAGAAGGGTACCTAATCAAAATATATATAGGTACATAGAATACTTTTACGTTATGTAGACCAAAACTGTTGTTTTGTTGCTTAAACAACAAGTAAAAGTCAATTTTTAATGAGATTCAGAATATGATAATAGAAACTATATTTAAATTTACCTATAGACATCATTTCTACAAGTATTTCCAGTCGTATAAAAAGTGCCGCTATCGCGGCTGTCAATCCGCTTATAAATGTAGCTATTACAGGTGTTCCGGTGCTTGGCCATACTTGAGAAAACATCCTATAGAAGAAAAAAGAAACGAAATTTAATGTTGTTTAAAATACAAAGCATTTTCAACAGAACAAACAAATTTTTAACCAAAGACGTATTTATTTTTCCAAATATATAAATATTTTCTTTCATTAGTAGTGACGAAAGTAAACCATAACTTCTTTAATAACATTGAGCCATATGCTATTTTAAAATCTGTCCATTACTACACGTTGATACAGCAACCTTGCAGAATAGGTTATTAGCGGATCCAACATTCAATAAAACAGGTCCAATCGATTTATTACTTGGAGCAGAAGAATATAGTAAATTGATATTGGATGGTCTTCACAAAACAAACGATGGTATTATTGGACAAAATACAGAATTTGGATGGATTCTTTCGGGTCACATTGCCGCCCAAAAAACTGAAACAATAAAGATAACAAGCATGGTAGCATGCACCGAAGAAGATAAGATGTTAATCAAACTACAATACGAAACCCGGATGGAACATATACAGTATTCATACCATTTAAAACTGCAAACCCAGAACTGGGAGACTCCAAGAAAAGAGCAGCTGCGAGATTGTTACAACTGGAACAAAAACTCGAAAAAGATAATCACTTAAAAACAGCAAACAAGTCACAAATATGGGACAGATTCTCAGAATTTACAAGAATGCTTCGAGTTTTATCATACTATAGAAGACTAAGAAATCATATAAAAGGTCCATTAACAATTAAAGAAATAGACACCACATTAAAACAAGTAATAAAAGTGCTACAGTTAGAACACTTCTCAAACGAATACTAAACCCTGGAAAAAGGTGGATATTTAGAGAAATCAAGTAAGATACATAACCTATGTCCATTTATTGATGAGAAAGGTATACTTAGAGTCAGAGGGAGACTAGAGAAGTCGTTACTACCATATAAGTAGAAGCGTCCAATCATACTTCCTACTTGGAGTAACTTCACCGATCTTGTAATTCGCAACTGTCACAACAGAACACTACATGGTGGAAACTAATTAACCATATCATATTGTAGACAGCAATATTGGAATATTAGAGGAAAGCAAGCTGTCAAAAGAGTAATAAATAAATGTGTCAAATGTATAAGGTTTAAGAACCAAACAGCAAAGCAACAGATGGGCCAACTACCAAAGCCTAGAGTCACACCGACTTCTCCATTTACACACACTAGAGTAGATTATGCAGGACCTATGCAAATAAGAACAACAAAAGGAAGAAGGTATAAGTCATATAAAGGATATATAGCTATTTTCGTGTGCCTAGCAATGAAAGCAGTCCATCTAGAAGTAGTAAGCGATATGACCACCGACTCATTTCTAGCTGCTTTAAAAAGATTTACTTTAAGAAGAGGTCCATGTACACACATATACAGTGATAATGGTACAACGTTTTTCGTTGCCAATACCTATTTGCAAAATGAAATATTCCAAATTACCAAGAAGTTAGATGTTTAAAACTCCATGTCTACTCAAGGAATCGATTGGCATTTTATTCCGCCATCAGCCCCGCATTTGGTGGATTATGGGAAGCCGGGGTTAAATCAATGAAACACCATTTGAAACGAATTGTTGGAGAATTAAAATTAACTTACGAAGAATTAACAACCCTCATGCATCAAATAGAAGCTTGCCTTAATTCAAGACCATTATGTCCTATAAGTGAAGATGTAGATGATTATACCGTCTTAACGCCAGGTCACTTCTTAATTGGAAGAGAAATACTATCTCATCCCAATCCAATTAATACAGATATCAACATCAACAATCTCAATCAACGCTGGAAATTAGTTCAAAAGCTAAAGGCCGATTTCTGGAAATCATGGATATCCCAATATCTAAATCAACTACAACAGAGATATAAATGGTGTAGACCTGAAGAAAATACAAAAAATCGGTACCTTAGTGCTTATAAAAGACGAAAATGTTAATCCAAGCCGTTGGCCTATGGCAAGTGTTGAAGTTCACCAAGGAGATGATAAAAAAGTCCGTGTCGTGACCCTAACAAAAGCAGGAGGTAACAAGCTAAAACGATCAATACACACTTTAATTCCGTTACCTACTGATGCTGAATCTCACAAACCTATAAAAATGTCTCCTGATGCGACTGTAAACAGTCATTGTACACAGCCTGAGAAAAGACCACAAAGCTTCACCACCTACTCATGCCTTAAACTACTATTCCTAATAGCTCTCATATTCCCAGTTCCCCAAATTCAAGCCACCTACAGCATTCAATATCCCAAACCAGGTCTATACATAGAGCACTTAGGACAAGGCAGGCTAGAAGTCACAGATTGCTAAAGATTTTAGTGATGCATCAAAAGTGGTGGAAAATTTCACAAATCTCTGTCAGTATACCACGGAACTGTCTCAAGAAACCCATTGCAACATTCTCCTGTGTCATTTAATAGAACAAGAAAAACAGTTGCAAACATTTAATGCAAGCTTAACCACAAACGTAGAACGTTTTAAAAGAGGTATTCTTGGAAAACTGCCAACATCTGTATTTGGCGTCAATGACGAAGTGTATCAAGATATTGAAGCACTGCAACAAAATCAAGAAGAACTCATAAAAACAACTAGCCATCAAAGTAAGATAATGATATCTACATTATCCAAAATCAACGACACAGAAGTTAGAATACAAAACCAACTAGAACGCTTTAGATCAAAACTCAACCAAGGCCTCGATGCAATACATGGTATGCAAAGTTGGTACAATAAAGTCGATGTCAACACCCTAAACATTCATACTTTAAGTGCCTACCAGATTGGATCAAACTTCCTAAGTGAATTAACACATCACTATTCCCGAATTCTAGATATTCAGTTTAATAGAGGAACTCTGTACGATCTGACAAGGTCAGAAGACTGTGTCATTAAGACAAACCAAAACATCCTGCAACCAATGCATTTGGCTACAGCTCCAGTTTTATCGACCTACACTAAATCGGCATTAACAACGTTTAACTTCAGCCAACGTACACCAGAAGATATCCAAACAACAATCCCGAAGGAACCTGTCTTTAAAATTACGGATAACTTAAATTTTATAATTTCCGAAGAAAATGCAGTTCATGATGAGTTGCATGAGAAAATTTGGAAGAGGATCAAGAGCCACAACCTATACTAATAGCTCTATGGGTCCTATACAAAAAGATCCACCACCACATCTGCCGTGGTCCACCAGAATCGCCACACCAAGCTGAGATGATCGAACTGCAGCCACTAGCCTCAGTCAGGACCGAAAATCCGGGTGAATCAAGTTGAGAGTCGCCAGTATGTTCAGATTTGAACATAATAAAATCAACATCCTGTATATTAAATTAATTATTTTATTTATTTATTTAAAATGTTTAATTTCATACAGCGTTTTGAATGTGTATTTAAATTATTAAATAATTGTAATTGTTATTTTTTATTGTTATTGTTTGTGATATTATAAATATAGGTGTTAATGAGATAATAAAGAGATTCATTAAAACCATCTTGTGGTATTATCTTTGAAATCTATTCAAAATCAATAATCGTAAAAAAGACTCTTTTTAAACAAAAAATCTCTGTTTTTGGAAAAAATGTACGACTAGCCTACCTACCTAAATATTAATCCGTCTTGCGCCATAGCGTAAATAATTCTAGGCATTGGGAACATGGAACCGAACATGCTGACAGTCAATCCCGCTAAGGCCCCTACGGCAACAATATATTTGCATCTGTAAGCTCCGACCTGCCCAAACATTTCGACCAGAGCTGAATCTTCATCCACCTCTGTATATGGAACTGAAATAAAAGTAATTGTATAGTGCAGCATCCTAAATATACTAATCGACACGAGGTGTCAAATCAAATTTATGCTACGTTGCTTCAAAAGTGACACAACTCAAAATTGACATTTTTTTGAATTAATACCATGAATGTATATGATATAGGGTTATTTACAAATATTAACTCAAAAGATGTTAATTTTGAATTGTGTCACTTTTGAAGCAACTGTTTTTAGTTAAACACTCGTTTGTCAACGAACTCATGAAACTCACCTATTAATGTGAGCATCATCGAACTAGTGACGTATGCTATTAAAATTATGGCTAAACTGGACACTATGGCTAAAGGGATAGACTTTTTTGGTGTAGCTGCTTCTTCGCCAGTCGTGGCTATGATGTCGAAGCCAATAAATGCATAGAAACAGGTAGCAGCTCCTGTAAATACCTGAAATAATAATTATGTTTTAATTACAGATTAATATTCTCTACCACTCCATTTTATTTCTTAATTGATATATATTTTTTTAATTTAGGTTATAAATACGAACTTTTTTAAATGCAATGAACGTTTTTACCAATAAAAAAATGTCTATAAGATGACGTCAGAACAACGAGACTTATACAAAACATGGAAAACAGTTGTACTGTCTTTTATCTCTCTATTAAGATAATGTCTTTCAGACGTTGCATGTAATATAATTTATGCATAGAGGGCTGAAAATTATAATTAGGACTGTTTATCTGCTTAAGGAAACATTTCTGTGTCACACTTTATAACACACATCAAGTATTATTAGCTCAACGTTAAAACAAATCATGCCACGTCAACAGAAGTTAAAGTCAACTTAGGTTAAGCAACAAATTAAATAAAAAATTATACTCGGACAAAATATTGGAGAAGGTAAGTCATATACATGATCAACAGTGTTGTCTATGAATTAAAATTCCGACAGAGTCAGCGTAGGCGGCGTATCAAATACCAAATAATTATTTATTAGGTATTTGTTAGTAAACTTTATTAAATTTATTTGTCAACATCTTTATTTAAACAAAGATGATGCGTTAAATATAAGTTTTTGATAGTTTTCAAGAAATGAATATATTTATTCCCTAATGACTTCGTTATCTGTGTTTAATGGTTTTAAAATTTGTTTTAAGTAAATAAACGACAGACGGGTTACAGATTGAATATTGTCAGCACAGGCACAAAGACAGTTGAAAACTAACTTTCGACAAAGTTAGATTTGTATCGCTTTAACTATTTACGATAATTATTTTATATTTTATAAACACTTTTTTGTATAAGTGCTCTTTTCTGATATACGAGTAGGTGTTCATGTTTGTGCCTTACAATTTCGAGGAGTTATATTTATTGTGTAGTATATTAGGTAGGTACTTTAAAAGTTTATTAAATAGTAAAATATTGGTGTCTTTATAAAATTTAATAATAGAATTATATTGCTACAATAGTAATGGATTCAGAGGCAGGTTCAAGTGAAACCCAATTACGTCGGCGAAAGCCCTTATCAAAGGATGAAAAGAACATTATATGGAAAGTGTATGATGGGCTGAAACAGACACTTCCTACAAATGAAGCTGTAAACCGCAGTTCTTTTTTAACTGGAGTATCTATTTCAACAATTGAACGTATTGTACACGAAAAGACAAAAAAGGCTCCTTAGAAGCCCCTAAAACGCATACCCGCATGGGCGTCGTTTGAGGGGGGCAAGGGGGGGCAGTTGCTCCTCCCTGGCTTTTACGACTTAATTAACAACGCATAAGACATGTATTACTGATATTTGGTTAGGTAGGTACTGTGTGCCACAGTTTGACAACGCTGTATACGGTAAAATTACAGAACTAACACAAATGGCAATGGCTTATATTTTTGTTATCACCGTGCACGCATAACAAACGCAACATAATATGTTAGGTACCTAGTCTTTGACTGCAGTGGGATTCTTATTTTTCAATATACCATAAGTCGAGACGTCTATCATCGTTTGACAGACTGCAATTCTTATAATGTCTCCCACTATTCAACACGTGACGTGGCAAGTTCACACAGAATCTCTGTGCTGATTCAATTGTTTAAGGAAATAGAATAGGCGACATGACAGGTGTAGAAATGAAGATACCACGAATTAGGGGACAACAATCTCATAAAAATAATATTCAGGCTAATACAGTTGAAGAATATTATAGGTTGAATGTATTTGTTCCATATCTTACGTGGCTTACATCATGTTTTTCTGTAGACTCTAGTGTTAGCTCTTCTTTAAGCCTCTTACACCAAAAACTACCGATTAGAAAATGAAAATAGTGCAAAAATTTTCAATCGAAAATTTTGAAGCGGAATACCAAACGTGGATAGCTAACTAGAGTACAGTGCATACAGTGAGCTCTTCATTAATAATATAGCGTCCAAAAATTGTGAATTTTATCCAGGCATACAAAAGGCTTTAAAAAGCAAACTTGTGACTTATTGATAGGGAACCAGTTTTATTCATTAATTTCTATGTGTTCTTTTGAACTAAAAATAAAGAAAATATAAATTACAGTCGCAATTATACCAATTATTTTTGTTAATATATTTTGATTCTACGTTTTTATAAAATGGTAATGTTTTTATTTTGACATTATTTAACTTCTTATACATTTTCTATTTAATACTGTTGCCTGCCTATGTTTTATTATTGATTTGTATTGATTATGTTACTTTTTTGGGTAAAGTTATAAAGATATATAATAATAATAATAATAATAAATTAATTTTTTCACTTGTTTTACAAATCCATATATATTTATTAAAATCAACATATACATTTTTTAATTACGAATTCTATTAAAAATTGTATTGTCAGTATATGCAAATATCATCCGTTAGTTCATAAATTGGTTGGCGCTTCTGTCACGTATGGAGAAAATAATGTTATTGATATTTGTGGTACAGAAAGAAGAAATTTAAAATTTGCTTTCTTTGTGTTCGTCGACGTGTTTGAGTGAGTTTTTTATGTTTTTGTGTTTCTATAAATATTTTTTTGTTAATGTGTCCTCTTGTTCCTATTTTTCCTTTATATCTGTTTGTTTTTCAAAAATATGTGTTTTAAGTTTCATGTTTTTTTTTTTATTTTCGTTTTTTTCTTTTTGTTGGTTTATTTCTTGTATTAAAGATTTTGTTATTTTGTATTACCCCTTTATTTTTGTTTTTGTTTTCAACAAATAAACATTCCAAATTTTTTCAATATTTTGCTCCTCCCTATAGAATTGTATAACGACGCCCATGCATACCCGTGGTCAAAAATTGTTGAAATTGGACGATAACCAGAAACAAATCATTCGAAAAACTGTACATTCTTTTTTTTTTCGAAAACAAAGCCCCAACACTTAAAGTTGTTCTTACGAAATTAAGAGAAAACGAAGAAATTCCATTAATGAGCCGTGAAACTTTACGAAAAATTTTATGGGGCCTAAAATTTCGTTTTGTCAAACGGTGTACGAAATCTGTTTTAATTGTCAGACCTAAACCAAACCAAAAATTGCAAAAGCCGCTAGTTCTCCAAAAGCGAGAAAAGCAGCTTCCTCCAAAAAGAAGAAGTAAAAAATTGACTATGTACGTTACTTATGGTCATTATATTTATTAATAGTTACGACGAAAGCTATTGTCGCAAACAAATGGCCCTTTTCAGGGCCACAAATTAATTTTTTCGATTGAAATTGTCGCAATATCTAACTAAAAATCTGACGTCTCCAAGAATACACATTACGTTCCAGTACAAAAAAAAGTAATTAATTATTCATTAAACAAACAAACAAACAAACAAACAAACACACAAACGAACGAACGAACAAACAAACAAACAAACAAACAAACAAACAAACAAACAAACAAACAAACAAACAAACAAACAAACAAACAAACAAACAAACAAACAAACAAACAAACAAACAAACAAACAAACAAACAAACAAACAAACAAACAAACAAACAAACAAACAAACAAACAAACAAACAAACAAACAAACAAACAAACAAACAAACAAACAAACAAACAAACAAACAAACAAACAAACAAACAAACAAACAAACAAACAAACAAACAAACAAACAAACAAACAAACAAACAAACAAACAAACAAACAAACAAACAAACAAACAAACAAACAAACAAACAAACAAACAAACAAACAAACAAACAAACAAACATCATATCTGTGGTCGGCGCTTAAAAGGTAATAAGTCGATATTACACATTTTTGAAGAATGGCGCTGAAAAATTTTGGGACATATAAATAAGGATTTTTAGAATCCAAATCGACAATCTTTTTAGGACGTTTGGTCCTGTAAAAATTAAAAAATATGTAGAAATATTTTGTTTTAACTGTTTTATGTTACAAAATTTGACTGTTTATGTTTAATTATGACGTTTTGTCTTTCGCAGTTACCCTTGTATTATTATATATGTTTTTTGTACCTTATTTTTATTATTTTACAACGTATATAGACCTAGATCCTTCTAACTGCCTAAAATATACACTCTTCTAAATGTATTCTGACTAAAAACTCCATTTACGTAAAAAACGACTCATGACCTTTTAAGCGCCGTCCACAGATATAATCTATTTAATTTTAATTTCTTTCGATTATTTTAGACCGACATTTTCTCAGTTATTTATTATTAAAGATCTCCTATAAAGAATGCAGCATAAAAAAGCTATATCGAAATTTTTTTATGTGTGTTATGTTACACGGATCGCGGCGGCAACTTTTTTGGATGACGAGCTTTTTTTTTGTTAGATCGGTCATTCATTTAAAATTATTTAGTGGGAGCCTTTAATAAATAACACACAATACCTTTTTATATATAAACGTTTATTTAAAAATCTGTGCGATATATTCGCGAAACAGACAAACACCTTCGTAATAATACTGTTTCGGACAGAACATAAGCTTAGCGAGTATAGCTGGTATTAAGTAAAGTTAGTTAATTAGTTAGTTAAACTTTCCATCGTATTCAAAATTATTGTGGTTCTGAAAAGGACACTGGCGACGTCGTTATTTACGAAATATTAAAGAGTTTAGAGCCGCTAAAAAAAGATATACTATCTCGATGAAACGTGGGTGAATGCTGGACACACGGAATCTAAGATATGGCAAGATACTTCTGTAACTAGTCATCGCCAAGCTTTTATAGAGGGATTATCTACAGGTTTGAAAGCACCATCAGGTAAAGGACAGCGCCTAATTGTTACCCATATCGGAAGTGACAGTGAATTTTTGGAAAATAGCGCTCTTGTGTTTATATCGAAAAAAACAGGAGACTACCACGAGGACATAAATGCGGAATGCTTTGAAAAATGGTTTACTGAAGTATTACAGCGTGTAGAACGAAATTCAGTTATTGTACTAGATAACGCTTCTTATCACAGTCGACGAGTTGAACG